GCAATCATCCTAGTACATCATCATATATATATATATATATATATTTATGCATTTTATTGTAATTATTATTAATCATGAATATTATTTATCAATCCAAGAGTATCATAACGTATAAGTTGATAAATTTAATTTTAGATATAATTAAAAAAATTATTATTAATTTTTTTATTTAAATATGATTGGTTATTTAATTAAATTTATTTCTTTTTGAAATGAGATTTTAAACTTGATTTAAATTTTTTTAAATGATAAATTCTAATTTATGAAACTAAATAAGATTTAGAATGATGGTAATTTCTTGTTGTCTAAAGTATTAAAATATTTTTTAAATTTGTTAAATAATTAAATATTAAAAATTATTTTTAAAATTATTCTAATAATTTAATAGCAAATTAATAACATTTTCTCGTCTTAGGAATATTAAAAAAAAACTACTATCACTCTTTAAAGAAATTCCATCGAATTCATTAAGATGTTTTAAAATTTATTTTTTGAATTTAATAAATTTTTTTAATAGTTTGAAAAAATTTTGTTATGAGATATATCTTTTAATAATTTGATAAGATTAAAAATATTTTATAAATTTTTTAAAGATCATTAAACTTTCCTATAGTTTAATAAGATTTAACTTCAAAATATTTTCTCCATTAGTTTGGTAGGATTAAAATAAATTTATTTTTAATTCATAAAATTTTTTAATAATTTGATAAAATTTTATTTCAAGTAAAATATTTCAATAGTTTGATAGCATAAATTTTAAAAATTATATATTTTTATTAAATTTTCTTTAAAAAAATCTATAACAATTTTGTAGAATTCATAAAAAATTTTAAATCTATGAAAATTCTTCAATAATTTGGTAAAATTATGAGTTTAATTTGAAAAATCTTATATTTTTTAAAAAATAATTACTTTAAATAAATAAATAAAATGAAATAATATGGTAAAACACAAAAAAAATAAAAATAAAACAAAAAAAAGGAGATAATCTAGCTCAAGAGGAATGTGGCTTAGCTCAGCTCAAGGCACAGATGTTGGCTCAGCTTCAATGTAGTACGGCTCGACTTCGGCTCAATTGCCAAGGCCTCACACACGGGCTGTCGAGTCAAGGGTCGGATCTTCCCTAAGTCTATTAATATCAAAATGACATCGTTTTGGACAGCTATAAGAAGGACCAATTTTATTTTCCCACCAAATTTCTTTTCTCTTCGTCTGTCTGTCTGTCTCTTTCTCTCTCTCTCTCTCTCTCTCTCTCTCCCTCTCTCTCTCTGCTCTTCTGATTCTCTCTTTTTAGAATCCTTTAAATGCCAATCGGATTTTGGGCAGCACCATCGGAAACCTTAAGGGCTCATTGGGATGTTGCCGAGAACTTTAACGGATGATTAGGAAATTGAACAAGATCTGAGAACTCACTGGAAAACGATGCCAAAAGACGTCGGATACAGGGAATCCTACTAGAAAGCTAAAAAAAATTCTAACTTTCACCGGAAAATGACATCAAAACTAAGTTTCTCGCTGGAAAATTCAAAATTTTTTCAAAAAAATTCCAAAAAATTTTAGCAAACTCCTCATTGGACCACTTAAGATATTTATCACCGTATCTTCCTAAAATTCGAACAATAATGATTCCAAGTCACCAAAAATATTTAGAATCAGGTTACGCTGCTTTCATAAAAAAATTTTGGTTTTGAAATTTGTGTGATTGTTGTGTGTTTGCTGTCAATCAAGTTTCGGTATTTATTGTAGAAAATCCTACTATCTTTAGATCATTTAGGATTAAAATTATTAAACTTTGTATTATCACAAAGAAATTGAATTTATCTCCAACAAGTCCTAATTCCAATCCAATTATGATAAAACTTGTATTATCACCAAGAAACAAAATTCCCTTTTTCTTTTAATCTTCGTCACCGAATCCATCTGCCTAATTTTTTTATTTTCGACCCTTTTTTTTAATTATCCAAGAAACAATAATTAAAGATAAATAAAAACTAAAATAGATAAAACAAATAAAATAAAAGAGATAAATACAAAAGAGCAATAATACATATAAAATAAAGATAAATGGAAACAAAATAAGATAAAGATAAAAAATGAAAAATAGAAATAAAAATAAATAATACTAGAAAATTAGCTCGACTATGATCAGGCTATAATTTTTTTTTTTTCATTTTGATGAAATATAAATTATTTAAAATTTTAACTTAATAATATGTATATAGCAGAAAAAGCAATCAAATTTGAAACTATCAACTTAATTACATTGTCACAACCAAAAAAATTAAAAGCAAAAGCTTTGTACAATCAAATATATTGACTACTTAAATTTTATTTCCATAGCAAACATCCAACACATATTTAAGAAATAACTCGCATCTATATCTATAGAGAGATGTTATGAAAATTTTATACATGTAAGTTGTGGATATGAATAGAAGTTTAGCAATACTATTAAAAAAAACAAAATTTCTTTTTGTAAGAAGATTGAAGTAAAAACAAAAAAACACTAGTTAGATGGTTTAAGAAACCTTTAGTTTCTAATATGGCACTCCCATTTGGATTTTTCTTTTCTTTGCTCAAGCTACTTCATGTCTTTTATTTATTTGAGATAAAAGTAGTTTTTAATTTTTATTTATAGTAGTTTTTAATCTCATGAGTGGTAGATTTTAAAAATGTTCAATCTATTAATCGATACAAAATTTTTATTATAAATTACTTTTAAATTATTATATATTAAATGTCATTTTTAATTTTTATTTAATTGTAAAAAAATAATAATAAGAACAATTCTAATATACTAAAAAATTTAACAACAATATAAATGCCATAACAAAAAATATTAATTCAAAAACAAAATCATAAATTAATAAATAATAAAATCAATATATAATTATTTAACTTTAATTATTTTTCATATAACTTAAACAAAAAATTTATCCCTTCAATTTTCATCAAATTTTTCCTCTAAAATTTATTTATTTATGATATATTAATTCTTAAATTTGTAACTTTAAATTTTATCTAATAAAGTTTTACCCTTAATTTTTTCGTATTAAAATTTTTAAAAAATTTTTCAATTAATATTAAAAGAATATGCACAATAATAAAGCACCTCCCCACCCCATACTGATCTCCATTTGTCAAATAGTCCACGGATCTTTAGCCCCGTTATGCCCTTCCCAATCTCGAGTCTTGAGGATGTTGTTCTCCTTCTCTTTCATAATCTCCTCTATCTCTCACGTCTCATTTCTTTCAAACTCAGTTCTCTGCCTCCTCTTTCTTAACTCACAAATTCAACTTTCAAAAGTCTAAAATATCACCCTCCCCCTTCCCTGAAGTAACCTGCTTGTCTCTTTTTCCGCCTTCCTTGACCTTACCAGCGATTTGATTCAAAATTCGTCCCACCCACCCATGCAGCTATAGAAGTTGGACGATGGAAAGGAGCCTTCATCGCTTAAGTCAGCTTTCGAACCCATTCAAAGTTCAACAGAAAATTACAGAAAATTAAAAAAAAAAAAGGCAATTATTGGTGCTCATTTGCTGATTGTATCAGATTGAGCTTGAATTTGTATTTGATTGAGGTTGAATTGATCTCAGTTAGATATGAAGGCTATTTGTTTTTGGGGCTTTTTTTATGTGAGTGTTGGCACTGACTTTGGTAGCCACAGGTTTGGACCTTCAAATTTTTGTTGTTTTTTCTTTACTTTTTAGGAGATGAATGTATCAATTTAATTGGATTTTAATTTGATGTTATAATGAGGTGGCTAATTAATAAGCTTGTACGGTAATAAGTAGCCAACTAATTAACGTGATGTGGCAATTATTTTGTGATTTGATATTCAAATGAATAATGTAATTCCTGACTTGGTCAACAATAAATTGAGAATTGGGGAATAAATTAATAAATATAATGATAAAAATAAAAATGGGGCACAATAAAATATAAAAAAAATTAGAGATTCAAACTTTAAATCAGACAGAATTTAATTGGTATAGATCCCACGTTAAATGAGGCGATTGCACAACTCAACCCAATTTGTTATTTACATAACATTATATTATAAAATATTACTGCATACCATCACTTCATTATACTTGAGAGGATATTGGATTTGAACCGGAGGACATCTTCCTTTCCCCAATTATCCAATTTTTACAAAGAAAACAAGAAAAAAAAATGTTATCATCATCACATTTGACACGAACCATCAGACCAGGCTGGGCATTTGACGTTTTGAGAAAAGAAATTGTTAGTTAGCTTATAAAATGGAAGCCAATTCATGTTTCACCGCTTTTAGTTTGAAACTTCGACATCAATTCAATAGGTGCAATTTTCTTTAAAGAAAAAAGAAAAAGGTAAAATGGCATGACAAATGAATCAGCTGGACTTAAAACTTTATAGTGTGGAGAAAATTTCTTGTAAGCGGACCAGGCCTGCATGTTTGACTATTAGTCTTCAGACCCACAACAACTCCCATAGTAATCACCGAAATAAATAAAAATGGGCAAAGTTTCGATTATAATGGCTGCAGCCCGTCTTCTCCAGCCAGCCTGAAAGTATAATCCACTATGGGCTTTCAGCCTAGGCCAATGTTTTTGCCAATTGTTATGTCTTTCTAATATAAAAATAAAATAACCCCAATATATTTACGTTGAAGTTAAAAACAATCCATTTGATGCCGAGAAAGAAATGGAAAGACCAAATTCCGTAGATCATTTTTTTTTTTTGAGTTATAAATAATAGATAGATTGATTTACGTAATTATTTTTAAATATATATTAAATAAATTTAAAATTTGAATCCTATTTTCTGCCATTTGTTTAATTTAAATTGCTCTTTGATTTAAAAAAAACAACAAATCTGTTGGCAGAATAAATCATTAATAAGGAATCAGATTTTGATTGCTTTAATTTTCTCAGATTCTTTACCAAAAAAAAAAAAAAAATTTCCCAGATTGACTATAGCTGACTGCCTTCCTAATCAAGCAAACTGCACTGTTTTGCATGTGTTTTAGTACACCTATCCCACACGGCGTCCATTTGTCCAATCATATCCCCTCAAACACGGCCTTCTGTCTCAACTACCAAAACCAAAAACATGGTAAAACTCTAAATTCTAAAGCATCTGTATCTTCCAAACTAACAGAGCCTGACAGCCAGGGACAAGTCTTCTTTACTTTCAAAAGAAGAAAATCCAAATCTCCGAGGCCAAGAAGAACTCAGTAAAGCGAGTGAGAGGAGAAACAGAGAAAGAAAAATGAAGGCAGAGACTTTGACTCTGGTCCTGGTTAACCTAGCCGGGATCATGGAGAGAGCAGATGAGTCATTGTTACCAGGCGTTTACAAGGAAGTTGGTGCGGCCCTTCACACCGACCCGACTGGACTTGGTTCTCTTACCTTGTTCAGGTCTATTGTACAATCCTCTTGTTATCCAATTGCTGCATACCTGGCTGTGCGCCACAATCGAGCTCATGTGATAGCTCTTGGTGCTTTTTTATGGGCTGCTGCCACCTTTCTTGTTGCCTTCTCCTCCACTTTCTTCCAGGTACACAGCATCTACCCCACTTGCTTTTCTCTTTTGTTAATCTAGTAATCTTTAATTTGTCTTTTTTGTTTGATTGGTGAGAAATGCTTGGAATGAGGGATTTTGGGTTTTGTGTTTTGTATACGTTGTTTCAAGTAAAGTCAACCAAGTTGTTGAAATGGGTGTTGTTTGATAGAGGATTGGAGTGGATTGCGTATGTTTTGGTTGTTGTAGACCGGATTTGTAGATTAAACCGATTTGAACAAGTTGTGCTTGCTTTTGCAAAAAGAAAAGAATGGGCTTCTGGTGGGTTCATCACTGGGTGCCTCTGAAGGAATTAAGGGTGAAAAAGATTCACAATTTTAGGCAAGCATTAATTAATGATGTTATTATTTTTAAATTCGACATGTAGATATCCTCAAAGACTGGAAAATAAAACATTAATATGTAAAGTTCTGCATTTGGAAGGAATTTTCATTTTGCTACTATGCAAATGGGTTAGAGTGCTATAAAAGAGTACTGCTAGCCACAACAGTCAGCAAACCAACTGATCAAATTAAATTTTTAGTCATTTGGCATCTTTTGAGCAGGTGGCAATCTCTAGAGCTTTAAATGGAATTGGCCTTGCCATAGTTGGACCTGCAATTCAGTCCCTTGTTGCTGACTCTACAGATGACAGTAACCGTGGTATGGCTTTTGGGTGGTTACAACTCACAAGCAATCTTGGTTCAGTTATTGGTGGATTCCTTGCAGTACTAATAGCTCCGATAACATTCATTGGTATCCCTGGTTGGAGAATTGCCTTCCATCTGGTCGGACTAATCAGCATTATAGTTGGTATTTTAGTCTACCTTTTTGCCAATGATCCACACTTTTCAGATAGTGGTAAAAAATCTAGCAATGAAATTTCAAATAGATCCTTATCGTCTGAAGTGAAGGACCTAGTTCAGGAAGCCAAAACAGTTATAAAGATTCCATCATTTCAAATTATTGTGGCTCAGGGTGTTACTGGTTCATTCCCTTGGTCTGCATTGTCATTTGCACCAATGTGGCTGGAGTTAATTGGATTCTCCCACGAGAAAACTGCATTCCTGATAGCCATGTTTGTCATTGCTACTTCTGTGGGGGGCCTATTTGGGGGTAGGATGGGGGATTTCCTTTCCACGCGTCTGCCGAATTCTGGTAGGATCATTCTAGCTCAGATAAGCTCAGCATCAGCCATTCCTCTGGCAGCAATACTCTTGCTTGTTTTACCTGATGATCCATCCACAGGGGTGATCCATGGTTTGGTTTTAATCATTTTAGGTTTCTGCATTTCCTGGAATGCTCCAGCTACAAACAAGTAAGATTCTCAAAATCACTCTTTTCACCCTCTGTATTGTTTAATATTATTTATTAGATGAGATTACATTCTACATTTTCAAATAGTTGCATTTACCAATGCAGTTGAGTCATAAGTTACAACGCATTTAGCATTTTGATACACCCAGATTTGGAGAAACAAGTTCATGATACAGGCTAGAGTATTACTGAAGTAAGCAAATTAGGAAAAGAGAACCAAAGAATTGTTTAAAATATGGGACTAAGTCATTTACATGAATCCTCTATCAGTACTGGCAAAATAAATATATTTTGAAATGTTCCATAAAATATTGAATCATGAAATGCAAGTGTCTAGATCATAATGTTGAAAGTTCCCTAATAGAAAACACGTGGAGAGCCAAAAAAAAAACATGACAATCTTGTTCATGAATAGTTGAGGCTTCCAGGGACTTTTCTTATTCTATATTTGTAACATGTAATTTAAACGTTTTCTATGCATGCAGTCCCATATTTGCAGAGATAGTTCCAGAGAAATCTCGAACAAGTGTCTATGCTTTGGACCGATCTTTTGAATCCATCTTGTCATCATTTGCTCCCCCGTTAGTTGGGATACTGGCTCAGCACGTTTACGGTTACAAACCTATATTGAAAGGATCTAGTGAATCTGAAAAGATTGCAACAGATAGAGAGAATGCTGCATCGTTGGCAAAAGCACTTTATACAGCAGTAGGAATTCCAATGGCTCTCTGTTGTTTCATCTATTCTTTCCTCTACTGTAACTACCCAAGAGATAGAGATCGAGCTCAGATGGAAGCACTAATAGAAACAGAGATGCGAGAGCTATTGTCAGATACCATGCCTGAAGGTGGAGAACATTCTCAAGCTCAACAATCTGAACTAGACGAACCATGTGTCAAGGAAAGAAGCGTTATTGAATTGGATTATGAAGTTGAGGATGACTTTGATCCTGATGAAAATGATGAGAAGACTTACCTGTACAGCCAATTGAGATTCTCTAATTCAGGTGTATAACGCTTAAGTTACACAATGAGGAGATATTGCTTTCTTTCAGTTAAAATTCTGGACAGCTGAAGCCAACTTTGGTATTGCTGTGAGGCTGCTTTACATTGAGGGTTTGTCCACTCTTTCAAGGACCATGGTTGTGTTATAACCTGCTCTGGACTTCTCAGCCACACATACTCCTAAAACGGAAACGTAGCAAACATAGATAAATTTAAAAACTCTTGAGGTCAGTTAATGGCTGCGGCCAGAAACATTCATGTTTGATGTGACAACATCCGAACAGCTAAATTTGATCACATCCGGACGAGCATCAATGAAAAGTTATACTAAAAATTTTTTCCTTGCCATTTTTATTGCATGTCATGAATGTTACAAGCCTCTTTCAAACTAATAATCGTCCCTATAAACGAAAGAACTGAGACTACAGAACAATTGGTAAGATGGATGCTTAGCTGCGTTTTCTAGCTGAGATCATCACAAAAAGTCCATTTCTCATACATGTAAAACCAACTAGTCCACAAGTTCGGCAGAGATCTTCGAGTTCACGTTCAGAGAGGAAGGTATGGCTGCCTGCTATTCCCGTTATATTCTATTCAGAACAATAACCCACCATCAGCCATAAAAAAAAAAAATACAACAAATTTTGTGATGCGAGAAAGGTTTAGATAAAGCTTATTCAATTAATTCAATAAAATTGACGAATCATATACACAACCCTCTAAGAACAATTATAGACATAAAATTCTCCTTATTCAAAAAACAATATCAAGTTTCAAATTCAGCATTCTAATACTGCATAATGCACTTAAGTCTAAACTTGTGAAGTAGTCAACGCAATTACCAAGGTGAAATAGTATACCTGGCGGAAAGTCCTCAAAAATGGCACAAACGCAAAAGGCCCATCAAGTATGTATGTGGTAGCAACAAAAACACCTCCTGGTCGAAGAACTCGACTTATTTCAGCCACCTAGGCAAACCGTTTCAAAATCATTTAAAACTTGGGCTATAAAAGGTAAAAGCTCAAGCAACAAGGACCAGGATCTTATGCCACAAAGTAAGCATCAGCAGCAGGAAGAAAAGAACAGCATCTCAGATTTTTATGCAAATCCATACATATTGGAAAGCTAGTTCGACAATATACACTATTAACCCCAAGTTTAACATACTTCTCACCATCCTTCAAAAAGTATCTTTACCATAAACAATTTTGCTCTTTTTAAAATATTTGACTTACCTATATTCTCCCTGGAACCAATATTTAGTCTGGACTTTGGTCAGATAATTTCCTTACTAGAGTTTTCTCCAAGATACAGAAAATTTTTATGTGGACATAGTCTAATGTCAAAACTTCCAGTTTCCCAGTGAAGTCTATTTTTCCTACTCCACAGAGTTTACTATTGGCATAAAGAACTCATTTCCAACAAAAAGATGCAAAAGTCTAAGGCATGAAAGCTTATCATCCTTGCTGCCACCATTTTGAGAAATGAGCCTTAAGATTTCCCCTTTGAGTGTCAGTCTATGATGTAAGCCCTTGTATGCCAGTAATTAGGGACAATGAGAAACTGGAATGATTAGTTAATCACCACATTTAAAAGAAATGCTTACAGCTGTTGATGGCGAAGGCCAACAGTGCAAAGCAGCACCAGCATGCACAGCATCGACTGAACTTGACATGAAGGGAAGTCTAGAGATATCAGCTCTAACCAAGGTCACTTTCCTTTGAGAAAAATAAAGAAAGAAAATCAGATATAAAATCTCAAATCATATATAAATAAGATCATCAATATTCAAAATTAAATACTTTCACATATCTAATGAGATGAGCTTAGACAAAAGGTGAACTTATACTCTTTAGGGAAGTTTTCCTCCTCCTCGATGAATTCATAGCATTGTTGCAGCATGTTTTCTGAGTAGTCCAGAGCAACAACCAGTGAAAATAATCCACTCTTGGCAAAAAGTCTGGAGAACAACCCGCTACCACAACTAGCATCAACAATGTTTCCACCTAGCACTGGCTTTAGGTAATTCTTAGCCATATCAAACTGAAATGTAAATCAGCAGTTACTTAGTGACTCCATCAAGGGAAAAGACTTTGAAACAACAATGGCATGAATTGAGAAAACTATTCAATGCATATTATACCAATTCAATTGAGCAAATTGTAGGACGATTAGCAATTGATGTTTATATTCGTTAGCATTTAAAGTGTTGGTATTTTCAAAGAGAGTTCCTTTAATATAAATGACAGATATACAGATTTCACTCCCAAGGAAAATCCACACCACACATGGTTAAGATAAACCCTGCAAGCTTCAACCTTTTAGGATGTTGGGATGATGCTTTGCATAAAACTAAGTTACAATCAATTTTCAGAAATAACCACTTCATAGTCCCTTCTTTATGAACAAGATTATAGAAATTGCCATCTTACCTCTTTCTCTGGACCTGGAAAGCCACCAAAGATAGCACTTTGACGCCAACCCCTCTCATAGAGAAACGATACCACTGGAGTCCTGATTAAGAAAATGACCAACAGGCAATAAACAAGTAAGATAAAAGCAAAACAATCTTAGGACATAGCATCAAGCACATGTACTAAGTTATTGAGGGCATAAGCAGTGAGAGCAACATTGAAAATGGTTCATGCTGCATTAGTTAAACAACATATCCAGAACTTTTTTGTGATAGCAACAAAAGATGTGGTTGGCAGAGCCAGAGTCACTACAGCATACTTATTTACAATTGCTAGAACAAGAGGAAATAGAAAATAACGGAGACAAAGGAGAGAAATCATGTGCCACAACAAAGACTACAGGAAAAATCAGTATAGTTATACTGTATAAACCGACTGGAATATCTGAAACTAGTAAAACTCTAATTTTCAATCTTCAATGACCATTTGACCTGTACATATTTTTATTTAATTTAACTCTTACATGCAAAGGTTTAGAACGCTATCCAAAACCATAAAAATAGAAAAGGAATAACAGGGACAGACCTGAACAATTCGGTGACTAGTGGCATGGATTCATCATACTGCTTGGACCCACTTGAGGCAACGAGGTCGAGATGGGTTTCGTTACCGAAATAAGTCTTTTTGCAAGTGTTACATTGCAAACTAGACCCAGCTGTTGATCCTCTGTTCCGTTCCTAATTCAACCAACTCAAACACAAGTTGAAATTGAAGAACATCATTTAAAAAAAAAAAACACAGCAACTCACACGTATAAAGGGGAGTCACTGAGCCTGGTTAATGGGTCATAACAAATGGGACAAGCTAAACCGTTGTCACCGCCACTGCCTTCTGTCTCCACCACAGGTTCCTAAAACAAATAAAAAATTTCTCAAAAGAGTTAGTATAAAAAAAAGTCAGAACCATTAGCCCATTTTTCTGGGTGCTGCTGTTTCATACCGTAGGCTTGGTTTCAACAAAGGCAGTAGAAAAGGCGCGAACTTTAGCGGTTAAACTTCTTCTGAAGATGTGAGTAGTGAAGGGTCTGAACAAGCAATGACCCGAGTTTCTATTGAGTTGACACGGAAAAAACGCGGGTCTGAAATTACTGGCAATAACTGTCTTCATGGTTTTGTTTTTCTTTTATTGTTTTACTCTCTTCGTAGTAATCGGAGAGGCCTTGTTCTTTCCCGGAAAGAAATGGGTCGCTTTTGAGGAGAAAAGAAGATCCCAGATGGCGACGTGGATTTAACAATTACCTGAAATTAAAAAAAAAAAAGGGGGAGAGACAGGGAATGATTAGTGACTTAGAATCCGTTTGGTGGGAGAAAATATTTTTTATTTTTTTATTTTTTAAAAAAATTATTTTTTATTTTTTATTTTTAAAAAATGAATTCGATAAATAAAAATAAAAATTATTTTTTAAAATGTATACATTAAGAAATAAATAAAATATTTAATAATATTATTATTAATGTCATTTAATTATAAATATAACATATATTTATTAATTAATGACACTAAAAAAATTTTAAATATAATAATTTACAAAATTTAACGAAAAAAATAACATACATTCATTGTTTTCATAATTGAAAATATTTTTTTATTTTCGTATATTTATCCATTTTTATTTTTATTTTTTAAAAATTTATTTTTATTTTTTAATTTTCAAACTAATATTGATTGTAATAACTTTAGAAATATTTTGTGTATTTTTGTCAATTTCTTAAAATTTATTTAAAATTAAATCTTTTGATTTTAATATATTAATTTATTTTTTAATTTAAATATTTTTTACAATTATACTGTAAAAACTAATTTACTATCAATAAATATATTTTTAATTTAATAATTTTACTTTATTTATTATGAAGTAAATAAAATATTATTAATATTTTATATACAAATTATTGTCTTTGAAAAACATTGAAATCATTAATTTATATAGTTATTATATATAATGTGCATAGTTATTTTGATATTTTCAAACAAAATAATATTTAATTTTTAATAATACCAAACACAATGATATTTAATTATTAAAAATTAATAATTCTTAACCAAACAAAATAATTTTAGATCACAAGTAATAATATTATCTTAATAATAAAATTATTTTGATGATTAAATTACCATGATAATATTGACACTAATATCTAAGTGTTAATACTTAAGACCATCCCAAACCAAAATTCTTGTAACTATAACACTTCTCATTGTAGTTTTTTCTTTTTAATAATAGAAAATCTTCATTCATTCAAAAAGAAAAAAGGAAAATATTCGTCTAAATTATTTTTGGTATACAATATTAATTGATGATTGTTGCACCCAAATATTTTATTTAATGATTCGATCATGTTTCTTTATTTAAAAAGTAAAGTTTGATTTTTTTTTTCAATAGAAAAAACAATTGAGGATTGTCTGTAACTCTCCTAAAATTTAAATTCAAAATCTCTTTGAAATTAATTGTTGTTCCTCTTTCTTTCAATATTAACAAGATATATAGACCTCTTCTGCAAGCTGCCAAAGAGCAATTAAAACGTTTGGTAATAGATGCCCATTTGTCAACATCATTCTCCTAATACTAATAAATTTGTGTTTGCTCAGAAATTAAAGAATATGATAAGCAACCATTTTCTCCATTTCATAGAGCAAAAATAACTTCGAATTTCAATCTATCTTCAGCTTTTTGATTGGTTGGTTTGATAAAGTTGGTTTTTAATAAATTATGCGTGCTTTCTTTTTCTTATGTCCTTTTTATGTATGGTGTCATCTTACCCCAGAATAAAATCAGAAAAGAAAAGAAAAGTATGATCAAAGCTACTTTAAATTGTGTGAGTCATTAGATATTAATCCTATGAAGTTGGAATAACATTATCGTCTATAATTCCTGCCGACATGTTCCCTATTGGTTGGAAAAATTTTAGTTTATTATGTTGGGAAATCAATATGTACATGTAGCACGCATAAAATAATAAACTTAAATTAATTTTAAAAATATATAAATATATTTATTTCGGTTTAACTCAAATTAATTTATTCTAAACTTAATCTATTAACAAATAAATCTATATAATTGTGAGATTTTTAGAATAAGAAAACTCAACCAAAAACTCAATTATATCATTTTAATAACCTACTCACTTAGCTATTCACTTGTTATTTAACTTTTTGGGATTATCAAACTAAAACTAAAACATCTTATTTATAAAGGTGAAATCTTTTATATATTTACTAAACTCTCAGTATGTGATACAATATAAACTTAAATTCTTATAACTTCACTTAACTTTCGATGTGAAATTATGAGATTCAAGATAAATCTCAACAAATCTTACATTGACTTGAATCTCTAAATATTTCAATAATATATGCAAAATTGACATGTTTACCTTTCTTCTTTTTTTTTTCATCACAAGAATCTCACTAACTGAGTCTCCATCAAGTATGTACAAGTGATTTTTAATCATATTCTTTTGTAGAATCATACCACAATTCTTGTATACTTTTAATCAATCATTACTATCATAATATATGTTCCATCGAGAAGCTAACTTACCTAAAGTAATTAAATTGTAGCTACAACTCGATACATATTTTACATGACGAAGTGTCTTAAGAACACAATTGTGAGATCTAAGGCAAACACTCATAATGCGTTGAATCTACACTTTTTCATTGTTGGTAATTGAAATATCCCTATATTTATCATTTTCTTTCAACTACACAAAGCAACTCTTATCATTACAGAGATGGCCTGTAGCAATTAAATCTAAAATCTAACATTTATCACCTTTCAAAGTCTGAGTCTCATTCACACAAGTCGTTAAAATAATCTTATAATCATTAGACACAATAGCAGAGTATTACTCTTTTCTTCATTCGATTTTTTCTCATCATTTGTCCTTTTGAAAACGGTTATATCTTTTCTCAGCTTCTTGCAACGCACTTGAATATGTCTATTTTCATCATAATAATAATATTTTATGTCACTGTAATCTTTATCTCTTGACTTGAATTTTCTTCTTAATCTATTAACCCTCTTTTGAGTCCTTTCTATATCAAAAATCTCTACAGCTAGTGTATTTTGTCCAGGTAATGAGTTATATGCTTTTACAAATCTTTCATTCTTACGTATCAAGATAGTCACATCATCCAATTTTAAAGTAGATTTACCCACCGTCAAAGTCTGAACTAAATGTTTATAAAACTTGGGTAAAAATGATAACAAAATTAAAATCTTTTTTTCATCTTTTAACTCATCAACAAAAAATCGTCATTAATTGAGAAATCAATCTATTAAACTCATTCAGGTGATTATGAAAACTCGTTCTTTCTTTCATTTTCAGAAGATATAAATTCATCTTTTAACATAATTTGTTAGTTAATGGCTTTGATGCATAAATACCCCCAAGCTTATCCTATAAACTTTTCAAAGTACTCTCAATCAACACATTATACTTTACCTCTAGGGTTAGCGTCAATCTAATAGTACTAATAATTTTCTTTTAAAGTCTATTTGAATTACTATTAGACATTCACTTAAGCTTTTTAGTGCCTGATCCAACCCTTATTGTACTAACAGAACTTGAATCATATTTTGCCATAACATAAAATTACTCTTTCATCAAAGAATTGTATCTCAAACTTAGGCATAAACATACTAGACATATTTTCTTCAAACATCTTGAAATACTTGCTTCCCAATCTATTGAGCCTACATCTTCTCTTCTCGAACCTCAAACTTTAAACCTCGTTCTAATACCACTTGTTGAAAAATTAACATGTATATGTAGCACTAACACACAAAATAACAAGCTCAAATCAAGAATAAGAGCACACAAATATATTTGTTCAATCCAACTCAAAATAGCTTACTCCAAACTTAATACTCTAACAAATAAATCTTTATAATTATGAGACTTTTGGAATGAGAAAAATCATCAAAAACTCTTTACTCAAAACTTAATCCAAAATTCAATTACACCCTTTAATAGCATACTCACTTAATTGTTCTTTTACTGTTTAACTTTCTAGGATTATAAAATTAAAACTAAAACATCTTATTTATAAAGGTGAAATCCCTTATACCTTTATTAAACTCTTGGTGTGGGATATAAGACAAACTCAAACTTTTATAACTTTACTTAACTTTCGATGTGAGATTATGAAATTTAAGATAAATTTCAACATATTGATCATTAGTTCGATGACATTGATTTTTTTAGGTCAAATGAAAATGATTTGCTTACCCTTTTCCCTAAAATTAATAAAGTTTTTCCTTCAATGCTTTTATATTTGAAAAATCAAAGTTCCATTTTTTTGCTTTTTTTTCTTTTTGATGCTGAATTAAATGTCTATAACAATTAATAAAAACTATCCCTATTCTATCTTACATATACAATTCAACAATAGCATAAAATAAAAATTAAAGGATAATTTTGGTCATAAAAAATTTGACTTACAACTAGCTTTTAGTATTCCATATTCTTAAGCTAGAAGTTTTAAGGGCATTAGATTGGGAAATGGTTGGAATTAAGAGAGAAAAATTTCAAGATTTGAAAGAAAAAAGATACTAGATGATGAAGTTGAAAGATTTCGTGAAAAAGTGAGTATCAGCTATGGTTTTCAAGTATGATCATTCTTTTTTCCTTTTTTTTTTAAAATTATTCATAAATTTGTTTAATCTCTACTTCCTTTTTCTCTTTTTTTTCTAGGCTTTAATCTCTTGATTTTTTCTCTCTTTTTTTGGATGGTTAGTTTTTTGTTGATATTTTTCTATTATTGTTTTAATGTTATTGTTTCTGGGTATGTTGTTATTCTATTAATTATTTCTATTTATCATGCATTATTAAAATTATTCTTTTTATGTGGTCATGGTTTTTTTAGTATCAGTTTTGTATTTTATTTTTTTATACATGATTTTTTTTTTTGTTAAACTGTGCTTTTTTTTATTTGAGTTGGTAATTACGGGTTGTGAATTGATGAAGGCTATTAATTTTTTGTTTTATTATTTTTACATGCAAGTTGTTTTGTGGGTTTTGAACTTGTGTTGGTTAATGTTAATGAACTTCTGTTCCTTTTTGGGATCTTGACAACAATAATTACCTGCTCAACATTTGACTAGAAATTATATGCTAGAGGATTTACCTATCCTACATCTAAGGTGTCATAACGTATAGATCCGTAAACCTATTGTTAAATATGGACTTAAAGAGTTACCAC